ATGCTGATTCTTATCAGGCTATTGTCTGGCGCTCTCTCCGTAGCGTTTTCCTCTCCCCATGCCCTCCTCTCCGCGCTAGTCTTGCCTTAGCACAGCCGACAGCGAAGGCGAGTCTTTACGACTTTTTGGACCATCTCCTGAAGCACGATTTTTAACTTTCAAAACCATAGGTTCTACAGGATTTGTTGTAATGGAAAGAGGTAAAAAACGTCAAAATTTACAATATCAATGCTTCATAGGAAATGCTAAATTCTCCTGGAAAGTTCTAGAATGCGAATCTTTTTTTGCTAGAATTTTCAATTAGGACTCTTGAAGACGAATTTGTTGCACTCTCCTCCCTTAAGTTTGGTCTGAAAGCAGCCTTTGAGGGATTCGTTTTAGAGACTGTTTTCTCATGCCCACTAGGATATAACATGTTTCAGTAAGATCCTTTAAGTTCCCATTCTGAGATACGCCATGTACTCGTCAGCGATTAGTTGCTAAAGTATTTTTTGAATGTCAGACCTCTTTTACCACTTTGCTATGCCTTGGGACCGTCGAATTCTCTAAGTGGACCTCAGACTTAATACCTCTATTGACCAAATACGAACACCTTCGCACAACGGATGGTTGGCCCTGTTCAAACCCCTTGAATCGTATCCCGTATGCTAAGAGGATTTGTTCACTTCAAACTAAGGCACACTGCAAATGGAGGTCTTCAGCTAAAATGAGCGTAGCGGTGTCAAGGTTATTCCAAAGAACACAAAAACGTGGAGTTTACTATGGTAAAAAAAATGCACAAGCTCATATTTTATTGAATGGATTAACGAATAACAGTGACTTCCTAGTATGGAATAGGTTCAAGAGATCTTCTGAAGTAGCCACCATGATGTTCCTTGTTCAATTTGGCAAATGAGGAAACTAGAGCAGCTGCTGACTCTTCGACCTGAAATAGGGAGGTAATGGCACAACTTCTCAACTACTGCGGGTAGTGATACTTATGAAATCACTAGGGGTAGCGAAATAAGAGTGTCATTACCGTAATCGATGCGCCTTGTCCTCCCATATCTGTCTGCACCCATCCAGGACAGAAGCTGACAATGAGAATGTGCTCAGGTTCGAGATCAATAGACATAGTCTTCATGAGGGAATTGAGGGCAGACTGCAATTGAATTTGTTACGAAAGAAATTTTTACAGCAGCAACCACTAACAAAAATTCAAAGCACCAACCTTGCTCATACGGTAGGCCAATGCCCCAAATTCCATTGATCCTGTCGTGTTTGTGCTAATGGAACCAGCTCCTGATGAGATGTTAAGGATTGCAGCACGGTTCGCGGAGAACTCGTCCGAAGCCACCTGAGTAGCCGCCTTACGCACGAGAGGCAGAAAGGTCTGAATCGTGAAAATTATTGATTAAAACGATTGTGTTGGTCTATGTTAGCTTACACAAGGCTCTCATCTTCGCTGAAAGACACAAAAACAATCGATTACCCACAGGGCATGAAGGCAAACTGAGTTTTCATTCTGTGGGTGGTTGCAGGGCAAGGGGTGCCATGCAGGGCAACCATGGCGTTGGTAATTATTCAAACATTCAACGACCCCTCCCCCTTCAGAGGCCTTAATGTGAACCCCCTCCCCTGGAGGATCTGTGTAATGTTAACCTTTAGACCCTCAACAAGCTTATTTGTGGCATAATACTCCTCATTTTCTCGAACGTACTCCTAGACCACAGGGAAGGACGGGAGCCACAACTTCCTTCAAATACGAGGATTTGCGGCGAGGTGAAGCTCAAGAAAACGATGATTATTCTTTCTTCAAAAATTGGTTACTTGATCTCCAAACTTAATTGTTAAAAAAAGTTGTTTTTTTTTGTGCACATGCGAGTTGTAAGGGTTCAAACGACCACAACTTCCTCTAAATTCATCATTTTGAAGAACTAAAGGGAGCATGCCCATCTTCAAGGATCAGCTTCTGAATAGTACTGAAACTTCATCAAAAAGTGAAAGGATTCCAATAATAGCTTAGCTGGGACATTCTCAGGACGTTGTAGGTGACCCTTTTTTGAAGTCAAGTTTTCACCCTTTAAACAATCACAACTTTCTCAAATTCATTATTTTGAAAAACTGTCGTAGAACGCTAAAATGTTCAAGCTTTCCTGATAGGGGACTTTCCAAGCCATTTTTTGGAAACGTAATCTTTTGAGGTTCTATAACAGTAACTTCCTCCGTAATGCTAGTTCGTGCACAAGTGTGAGTGTCCCATAAATAGAAAACGACGAGCATGCGTTTTCAAAACTTTTACAAGCGGTAGTGAAAACCATCCCTGCAAAAATAGAAAAAAATAGAAAATAGAAATTTTATGTAGAACTTTCTCTCCGAGGAGTCAGTCCTTCAAAACAATGCAATTTCCCGCATTTCTTTTCTGATCACGCCAGATACATCGGAATCCCGTTAAAACGATTTCTTATTGCTGACTGGTCGAATTTAAAGCGCACTGTGCGCACGAGTCCTACCACGGGTTGCACCAACGCCTACGCCGTGCTTCTAATTCGCTAAAGCACTTCTAAGTCGATATCGCCACAACTCTCGCCACCCCTTGGGCCAAATACGATCCCTCTCATAGGCAACTGTACTAGCGACAGTTGATCTTAGTGCACGTCAATGAATTTCTTGTTTGGACCGTTCATAACATTCTCACGGATTCGGACATCTCAACTTAAATGCCTTTTGGTATTAGTTTCCAAGCGAACCGCCGTAATTCTTTCCATAACCTTTACAAGGGCTATTGCGAGACCATCAATAGGCGTTGTCATTTTTCTGGCAACAAATTGCAGCACTCTCCGAAAGCACTGAATCAACTTATTCAGAATGCGATTTTGGAGGATTCTCCTGTTCGAGTTAGAATTATGCAGGGAAGGAGAGAAAGAAGGGCGCGCTCTCATCTATGAGCTTGATCCTAGCTATACAACAAAGGTACTGCGAAGCAATAATTCCAGAAGTTTCCGTGGCGACAGCGAGAGCCTTCAAGATATAAGAAACCTTCGAGGCTCAAGCTATTACTCAAGGTATAGGAAAAGGTGGTTGGAACATGGACAATGATTGGCTGAAGGTCCTGATCAGACCAAATCTGCATGGAACTGTTGAAGGATTAGCTTCGAATTACGCGGAGGTCATCCGTAGCTTCTAAATTCAGAGAAGAAGCCGGAAAACGAAAATAGTCAACAGGTGGGCACCACGAAATAGCCGCATTTAGTGAAAAATTTTTGTTCCCCTCACTCTACGAAGAGGAAACGACCCTTTCTTTTACTGCCTCGCGATGTACGAGCATGCAGCATAGCATACAGCTTAGCATACAACCTTTCAACAACAGTCAGAGCTCTCATGCTGCTCTTCAATCACAGTCAAGGAACTTAAGAATTAAAATGCATAGAGAGGAAGTAAGGTTGCTTGTCATTCTCCTGTGGCAGGAACAGCTCCCTGTGCCCGTCAGGAACTACACACTAAAATTGGAAAACGCTACCATCAAGAAGTAAAAAGTTATTTAGAAATTCTGAGAACTGTGATCAGCAATGGTTATCATGAAAGTGACAGCTGTTCTCCATGTCTCGGGTGCAAATCGCAGAACCTTTCTTGCGCAAGTTAGATTATGTATGTCACTTGGCTATGAAACTATGTGGGAACCGCTTTTCCCATTGAACCTCTTGCCTACTGAGTTGCGATTTTCCATCAACTGGATAGGGTTATTCAGAAGAAATACTTCAAAACATAGCACACCAGATTGGTCCCCCGTCAACCGCCGGGACCTTCCCTCCCTGCGTAGGCTTTACGCCTCTGCTGTGGTCCCTTCCACCTGTGACACCAACACCTTGTGGAAGATGACACGTCCGCAACACAAAGGATTTTATATATTGGGTTGTCTCATAATTCCTGTCTCAATTTCGACACTTTTGTTTATTCAAGTTTTATCTCTTCTAGGAAACAACTGATCAATAGCATAACCACCATCATGGTCACTGATATGCGTGCATTTGCTAGTGAGCGTTTGGAAGCTTCCAGCCCAGAATGAAGGAAGCTGGGGGTTGAAGAATTTGGAGAAGTCGTTTTTGGGGTGGTCGCAATCTTTAACTTTCTTCTCTGGCAGATGCTG